AGGTCGTTTGCATAAGCCCGCTGGATAGCTTTTTCAAAGCAGAAGGGCGGGCTAAAAACAGAAACAAAAAAAAAACGTTTTCTAAGCAGAAGGGTGGGTTGCAGTCGCGGGGCTTCACCGTTACATCGCTTTATCGTGTCTACGGGGCAAATTTTAAAGACGACGGGTTTCAGCGGGCCGAAGGCCTGTTACATTATTTGGTTGTGTTCTTCAGCACATCGCGTGACCGAAATGGTCGGGCTGCAGGCTTAACCACACTGTAAAAAATCACTGGTAACTTTGTGTGTCCTGAAAGCCCACAATTTTTTGAAATCTGGAATAGTAAACATGTTTTGCGTAGCCAATGAAGTCATAATTATTATTTACGCATCTATTTAGTATATTTACTATTCCACTGTACTTTAAAATTTATGATAAACGTCTTAAATTTCTGAAGTTTTGTCTTAAATTTATTAAGGTGATATTTGAGGATACCTTTTGTATCCATAGTAGTAAGATTAGGTTCACTGTGGAGCTTGAGAATTACTCTTAGTGGGTGGCGTTGGCTAACAAGGGTTCACAGGGTTTAATTTTGCATATCCTGTCAGTTGCTGAAGCCACACCATCGGGCTAGTATTTTGACTTTGCGTATCCACTGTAGTAAATTTATCCGGCCCACAGCCATAACCGGGCTGTGTCAAATGATCATGTCCCGGAGCAGCGTCACGTACGCGCCTCGATGGCTCAGTGGTATCGCAGCGGTGCGGTGATCGCATGGTCCGGTTTAAATCCCGGTCGGTGCCGACACCAATCACCCCGGATGAGACAGCAAACGGGCGGGAGTGGGCTGTAGGTCAGAGCACTGGCCGCCTCGTCCTTTCCGGCTGCTTGCTCGAACTGTTTTACGGCAAGAAGTATTTTTACCACTGTGGATACAGAAAGGTTGTAAAAAATACGCTTGGTAATTTTACTACTGTGGACACAGAAAGACACTACTAATGGAATAGTAAATTTGCTGATCCTCTGTGTAGCTAAATTTTACTTTACTGTGGATACGAAATTTTATGATACAAGGCTAAGGCCAGGTGCGTTTTCAGGTCCAAGTGGTAAAATTACCCCAAATATTTTTTACAGTGCATCGCTGGCCCAACCAAACATCAGGAACTTCGCGTCCGACAACGAGTGTGAGGGAGGAATCAGTTCACGAAGCAATGATTTTCTGCAAGATGGATCCGGTTTTATCTAATTGAAGTACCCTTTGGTTCGTTATAGAGCATAAAAAAATGCCGTTGTGCCAATATCATTCTTCAAAGCATCACTACTGGACATCACAACCACCTATCTTTGAAAAGGTGCATAGTCCACAACACGCATTATACCTATTTTGCTTATACGCTGGCACTAAACTCAGCATTTTTGAGTTCTGGATGTATTGCAATGCAAATTGTTCGGCGAGCTTTACGAACTAAATCGAACCGTCACGAAACGAGCCAATCCAACAGGCGCATAAGTCAAGAGCCGAAGCAGTTTCACAAATAGACGATACGACCCAACAGTCATAGTAATCGTGGCAAAAGTGTCAAGTTTACGATAGGGTGGCCATAGATCTGCTGAGAATACTAACAAGGGGGCTTAGGTATGTGAAAAATTCCCGGTTCGGTTCAAACTCGGTATATTTGCGTCTTAGGCATGTAGATGACGACCGCTGGTCGAATTTTGTGCTGAAGTCCACATCCCAGGGTACTTTATAGAAGCGTTTTGTGGGAACAGTTCCGAAATTCGACAAAAACTGATGGAAACTGATCGAAAAATGGAAGAGGAACTACCCAACCTCTCCAGAACCGCACATTTTAAGGCAGAATATATCACTTCATATTTTTTAACATAAAATCTTTACTTTTTGGGAACTATGGGCCTCTATAGGGAGTTTTGACATATGACCTTCGGCACAAATTTTGACGCGCACTAGTCATCTACAGGGATAAGAAGCAAATATACCGAGTTTGAACCTAATCGGGGATTTACACCTACCTAAGTCTCCTTGTAAGGTAAAGCAAACGACATTTTAGTTGTCATTAGGAATTTTTACGATTCAAATTAAAGTCAAATCACTTAGTTTGAGTTGTAAATGGTGGGGGATGCGGCGTTGCCACATTGACTTCAGCAGCTGGGTAAGATCGTCTATTAGGTGGCGCGCACATGTTTTCTAAAGAAAAAAATACGATTTTACTAAATCGTGGGAGACAACGGAGAAAATTTTCAGTAAATTAGTAGAATAGTAAGCTGTATTTTATTTATTTGTATTATTTTTCAATGAAACATTTTCAAAGTGAAAAGCAGTTTAACCGCCTGTTGGTTAGGCAATGCTTGTTTCCTCAGACATCCGTGCGTGTTGGTTGCCTATCTTGTCGTTCAATGAAACATGAAAAGCATTTTACTATCACGAGTTTCCATGGAAATGATGAGCTGAGCAGCAGGCCGAGTCGAGCCAGGGAAATTTCAGCCAATCACAAGTTTCCGCGGGAAAATTTCACCAATAGAAACGATCGCCTGTTGCTTTGTACAACCCTATTCAAAATTTATATGAGCCTGGCGTCGACACTCTCAGCTTTCAGTGGTCGCGTTTGAATAAAAACAAGTCGCCACCGTGTAAAATGGTGCAGATAAACGCTGCTTCGAACGCGACCGGTGAGCACCAGTCGACGATAGGCATTGTTAGCGAAGACTGTACTTCTGTCTGCCAAATCGCATTTAAAAGAAGGCGCGGCGGCTAACAATGCTGCCAACCTATCGCCTTTTGTGGCTGGGGGTGCTGCTCCCAGGAGAATTTAAAATAAAACTATGCTATGTTGGTTATACACTACTATTAATTTTATTTTATAATATGATAACATCTGATATTGAATAGAACATTTTGACTATTCCAACTGTAAATTAAAATATAGGGGGCCGTTAACGCGTTAGCGTTAGAATTTTTTATTATTCCGAAAAAAATTTAAAATCTAATAGAACAAAAATAGTTGTTAGTAGTAAATTTAATGAGCTCACAGACAGCAGTGCGGTTTGGTTTTGGAATAATTTCTGGTAAATATCCATGCCATTGCGCAGAAAGAATACTCATCGGTGTGGCTTTGGAATAATTTGTGGCAAATATTCCTGCCCTTGCGCAGAAAGGATCTGGTTTTGGGGCCAATATTTGAATACTATACCTGTATCTGGTTTACTTGTGCAACCAGGTACACCAGAATTAGTCCACCCCATATTTTAGTTGTATCTTTATGTGGTTGAAATCAGGAAGTACTAGATAACACAAATAAATTTGACTTCAAGGTTATTGGAAATGGCGTCGATGGTCTTCCCTTTCGTGTACGTTTGAAATGAGAGCCTTTATAACAAGGCGGTAAGGTGGTGGCGTTCGAATATGATTGTTGCCATCTGTGTCTGTTTCCTTACTATAGTAAAGGAAGTGTGTTCTTTCGGAAAACCCGGCTAAAATGTTGTTGATGATTTGCTTGTTTTATTTAGAATTGGTGGTGAAAATAGGAATATTATGAGAAGGCGGTAAGGTAGCGGCGTTCGAAAAAAAGTAGTGTCATCCTAGTTCTGTGCATTGTAGCAAAGGAAGGGATTGTTCGAACGTAGACTTTAGAGGTGTCTTCTTTCCTCTGGATTGGCTCGGCTCGGCCTGCCTGTTGCATGAAAAACTATCTTCATCTCTCTCGTGACGAGCCGAGTATCACCATAGAAACAGAGATTTCAATTTCAATTTGCAAAAAACTGAAAATTAAGTTTTTGATTAAACTTCGGGGACCAATTTAAAATTGAACTTTCTAATTTTTTTAAAAAAATTAAGAAAATCGTTAGACCGGTTTTTAATATCCCATAAAGGGCCATGTAAAACAATTGACTATCGGGGCAAAACGATCGTAGAAGACAACTCCGCTGTCTAAAAATCAGAAGCTTTCGTGCCGACCAGAAAATCTCAGGTTGCGGTTTTCAGTAAAAGAACGTAGTGAAAATGGTGCACCCAATGCACGAATTCACCTAGAACAACAGGCCCACCCTTCCGCCAAACGAAGTTGCTAGCTCCGCTTAGCTCCGCTGGCAACTCCGTTCGGCAGGGGCCGGGCCTGCTTGGCCTGCCGGCGGCGATGGTCGGGCCTGCGGCCCGAATATTTCTGTCACGCGATTTGCTGAAGAACATGATCGAATGATGTAGCAGGCCTTCGTCCCGCTTAAACCCGTCGTCTTTGAGTTTGCCCCAAAGACTCGAAAAAGGGATGCAACGGTGAAGCACCGTGACTACAACCCACCCTTCTCCTTAGAAAACGTTTTTTGAGGGTGGGGGGAGAGTGTCCTTTCTATGAAAGTATTATTGTACCCAGTGCACAGTTTCATCAAGAATCATCAGTGCGCTGACTGTTTACTTGTCAAAAATTAGGGACATCGGCGTAGGCGAACAGTAACACCAAACGCGCCCACATGGACGACGCTTCCTGAGTATAACTTAACGAGCGTGGCGTTTCATCAGCGAGAGCTCACTAAATTCAACATCGCTTGTCTTACTAGGCGAGAGTTTTAGCTAGCGATGATAAAACAAACAGCGATCGGTGCGAACATAAACAGCAGCACTAGCCATCCTGTGAATTAGCTGTGGAAGCGAATAAAGTCACTCGGAGAGGCGCATAGTTTTTTGCTTCTGCGAAAGCTTCACGGGCACCGATAGGTATTGGACAGTTTGCAACGTTAGTGACAGAATCAACAATGACGGCGAAAAAAAGTTCACTGCCAGGGAAAAAGAGCGTTTCCAGCAAAGGCAAATTGTGTGTTAGCTCTTACAAGATATTGTTCGTGACCTTTCAGAGCGACTGAACTTGCTTCGGTCCACGCTAAACATTAGCTGCTAGGGCCAATTTTATTTCCTAAGGCCATACGAGCTAATAAATTAGCCGAGAGAGTCAATTTTTGGCTGAGACAGCCAATTATTTTTTTTCCGTGTACGTAGCTTACCTAGAACACTTTCGGCGGCTGAAGTGCAGAACTCGTTCAGGGCCTTGGAACGGTTCGAGAACTGTCGCAGCCTAATGTTGCACTCCTTTGGTCCCATAAAAGACACACTCGCCAGACTGTGCGTTGATTCACTCCAGGAACTCCATGACTCCACCTGCAACGCGATTCAAGCATAGGTTTATTAGGGTTTTTCGGGCAAGCGGGCGACGGAAACGAAATAGCCTAGTCTACTAATTCTGTCTGCCACTGATACGTGGGCCCGGAGTGCGAGAGAAGGTAGCGGGGCGTCCCCGAGTCTTGTGCGCATACGCAGTTCGCACAACCCAAAACATTGTTTCTTATTTCAAGAGCATGCTGCCTTCAAGATTAAATTCACTCTTGAATTGTCTTGAAACAAGTCCATAATGTCTTTAGAAGGAGATTTTTCTCTTTTCGAAAGATAATTTTAGCTTGTTTCAAGAGTATGAAATTGATCTTGGAGCCTCATTTACTTGAGACAAGGAAAAATGCTCTTGACACTGTAATTCGAAGTGTGATACTTTTCACACATTTTTGTGTGATTCCCACGATTTATCACTCGTGGGGGAGGGGTCAATTTTTATCACAAATTTTATGTGATGCCTATTGCAAAATAATGCGATGATTTCGGATTTCCTACAAAACGGTGTGAATGCACATCGCACAAAACTGTGATACATAAAAGTATCGCTCAAATGAGTGATGGTCATCACAAATATAAGCAATGAATTTAATGTTGTACTTTTCCTGCGATGATCATCACAACATCGTGCAATATTTATGTATCACAGAAAACGTGTCGTCTGTATCACACTCTGATTTACAGTGGAGACGAGAAAGAGTTTTTCTAGGTGCAGTCTGATATGAACCCACTAGCCGTCCGACCGTTCCGTTTACGCTGCTTCACTTACCCAAAATTCACAATTGGGTGGGTGAAAGTTAATTCTATTACTCCTATAATCCAAAAGGCCAGTTTAGCCTCCAAACAGGGGTGGGTAAAACCTATGTAGTACAGTACCTAGGTACCTAGGTACTTTTCTCGCTACCTTACCTTACCTAGGTACTGAAGATTCAATTCTACCTTACCGATACCTAGGTACTTTTTGGAATACCTGTACCGCATTTTTGTAGGTACTTTTCAAGGTACTTTAAAACCTTTATCTACCAGATAAAAGGGTCAAATAAGGGTCACCACCAAACTATTTTCCGGGAGGGCTTTGATTCAGCACCACAGTGTTAAGGAGGGAGTAAAAGTATGGAGAATTCGTTCCGGCTGCCTCCGCCCGCGTAAAAAACTTATCCGTGTTTTGGACGCATTTTCGTCTTTTTCCAATAGTCTGATAACGACCAGCATACTACGAATATACCACGAAGTATCGAGGTATTCCGTCGTATTCCAGTTCTTTTGCCGCCGTACCTGAGTCGTACGGTGGTCGTGGTACTGGCCAAATTCACGACCAGAATGCGACGAGAAAACGGCGACCCATGCAGCGCCGGCGCCGCTGGGCACCGTCGTATTCGCGTCATTTATTCGTCGTATTCTGAAAGCGGAAGGGGAAAGAAACAAAACGGTTGGCCGCCGGGAGGCGGGCCCGAACCAGCGACCACCCAGTCACCACGCTGTGACGGTATCCACCTGGCCAGGGAGGACACCTGGAGGGAGCGCGGCCGGAACAGCATCCCATGCTGACCTGTGCTCTCTCGACACGAGGCCGAATCTCAGCGTTAAAGATTGTCGATTTAGAGCGATAGGGGCTGTCCAATAGCCACATTTTAGGCACTTTTCGAGCCCCCCCCTCCCCCCTCGTGGACAATCGTGGAATTTTCGGCCCCCCCCCCCTTTCCCACGTGGATTTTTAATGTTTTGCCGTAAAAATCCAAAATATGCATAGATTGGCACAAAAAAATGTAACGAAAGAAAATTTCAAAATGTATATTGTTTCAAGGTTTATTTTTCTTCAAAAACAAGCTGAATCGTTGTGATTTATACACGCGTGACGATTACATACGAAAAACTCTACTCCAGCTGCACGCTGTTTCCTGCACGGACGGACACGACAAGCGACGACGTCAACAATGACTGAAGGAGGAGAGGTGAGGAGGGGCAGGCGGCGGGCAAATCGAGCAGCCCCAGCGGCCGCGAGCAGAACCAGCGATGCTGCGCGGCGCTTGGGAAAGAACCGAGCCCGAATCGAGAGCGTTTTGCTTAGTGTCCACGTGGAATGGTGGAAAACACCCCCCTCCCCCCTTGTGGACAATCGTGGATTTTCCGAGGCCCCCCCCCCCCATCTGTCCACGTGGTTTATGGACAGCCCCATAGTGATTCAGACATTCTACATCACGGAATCAAAAGTTAGCTGCCACAGCTAATACAGTAAGCCAACATGGCTACACGCTAAAAGTGGGTGCTTGGTTTTCAAGCAAATGTTCCGCGCTCCAAGCAAGAGTGGTAATTTCCAAGCAGATTTTCGGTTTCCAATCAGACTGCTTGGTTTCCAAGCAGAACGCCATACTGTCTCCAAGCAGAGCGCACCATTTTCCAAGCAGATTTGGTCGGTTTCCAAGCAAAACCTCCAATCTGCTTGAAAATTACCACTTTTGCTTGGAGCGCGGAATCTCTGCTTGGAAACCAAGATCCCACTTTGAGCGTGTAAGTTCTTTACGCGGGCTGCCCACGGCTCCCCTTATGGCCCAGTGCGAGTAGGCAACTCACCCGCACGTGTGCATTCGATACAGTACAACTACGAAAGTTCGCGGCGTGAGTCAGCCACCTGGCAAACTGCATGACTTCGGACACTCGATAAAAACATCCATTTTTGGGTTCAACATCTTATGGTTTGGTGGAGGGCGGGTTTTTTCGGTACCCATGTCCCATATTCATGGCACCACACTCTCCCTTAACTCTCATGCTTCGACATGTTTGTGTTTTCCTTGAACGTCTTGCAAGCACTTGCAAGCAGAGTCGAAAACTCGTGTGCTGGTTAAGGTTGCCATTTACAATGAGATCCAGCGTCCCTCTTCCCTTACCAGACCTAGCTGGCCAGTAGCCAGCTCCTGTAGCACGCTGCCGCTGAAGTCAAGGCACACGGGGGTCATTGTTGGCAGTGGTTTGTCCCCGCGGAGTTCAAGCAACGCCACATCCACGCGTGGCTGATCGTCGCGCAGCGACTCCCCGACATCACGCACGATGACGCGGCTTACCTGCAAATAATTGGCTCCAGTAAAACGGGAGAACAGTGTCAATGGTGTCCGGATACCGGCGCGCAGTCACGCTGCACGAAACATCGCACCATTATGCAATGTAAGTGTGTAACTGTACCTCTGTATATAAAGTCGCTTACTTTTTTTTTTGTAATTAAAATAAGTATTTACCCGACTTGTTTTAGTATTGCCGTCAAATGCTGTCCAAATAACAGTGATGTTGTTGACAGGGAACTTCGGCAATTTTCCTTTCCCGTTCCAATGAATCATGTCAACGAGAAACGCGCTGGCTGGGCGGTGATTATGGGAGGAGAACAAATTACCAATTAATACATTGTGAGAAATTGGTGTACAGCCGGCGCTCTCTGAAGTTCCGCTTGCGGTTCATATTTCATGTGGGGAAGTGAGGTCACCACACTCACTGTCAGAGTGCTGGATTCATGGTTCAAGAGCAAAATGCTCTCAATCGAATGAAGACAATGTCAGGGCAATTTCACTTATAGTGTGACAAAAACGCCCAAGGACAAGAATCAGGGCCGTAACCGACCGAGGCGACCGGCAGGCGGTCAGCTCTGGCCCTGCACCGATTGCAGGTGAGAGGTATGAGGGGGGGACACAGCGAGAAACACAAATCCAACTTTTTGACATAGGTGTTTCAGAATCAGTTTTTTATCCTCTTTCAAATGGTGTAGTTAGATTTTACCTCACTGTACACATTCATAGAGTAATACCTACAGCTCCTTTTAAAGCCACTATTTTTGCATGAAAACTTTTAAGCTGTATATCTCTGAAACCGTTTGGGCTACAGAGCTCAGATTTAGTGGGTTCATATTTATTGAATACCATTTATTTTCGAGAGTTAAATTAAAATCCGAAACCAGACGCGAAATCTTGGGTCAATGATGAAAAGAACTAATCATTTAGTCTACGGACAAAAAGTCTCAGGGCAAGCGTGTTCTCAAGATGAGACATGATTTTTTACCTCATTCAAACGTGCTCAGGTTTTGCCTTTCAATTCAGTAAATGTACTGTTTTTACCTGTTAATACGGCGTTTGGCTTTATAAGAATTGCCGAATGTTTGGTTTGTTTTCCAGTTTCGTCTACGGCCACCACAGCAACGTTCCAGGGCAGATGTCCAGCCAGCGACATTCCTGATGACAGCGACTCACACAGATTGACATTGCCACACTGTCCACAAAAAAGAATACAAATTCGTTAGTTCAAAGTTTAAAAAAGAAACTGAGCTGGACCAGATGGAATCAAGTTTCCTGCAAAGTGATTAATTTCAATTGTTTTAAAACACATTTTTTTTAGATCCTATAATAAGACTTA